CCCCAAAACCCCAAAACCCCAAAACCCCAAAACCCCATAAGTGAAGATAATTATGTGATCGCAGTTTTTGAAATTATGAAATCAAGATTAGAATATCATTAATCGTATTCTCTGTCAGGTGATTCATCCTATTATTGAGAAATCTGTTATGGTTGACCTTCCTGGTTATTAGTTGGTTGAGCTTGTAAAGGACTATGTTTGTCCTCTTCCTCATCCTCGTACTGTCCGACATCTTAATCGAACTATTACTCCATTTGTTATGAAGTTTCGAGTGGTGGGAGTTTTCCTACTCTTGGTCTTTGGTTTCTTATCATTTCATTCATCTCTTCTAGCTCGAAAATTTGTTTCTGTAACTCAGTGATCTAAATGTCCTAAAGCTTGAGTTCTTTCTAAATGTCTCCAACAGTATTCTGATCTTTGCCCATGCTTCTCATTGACATTTCATTGTTAGATCTTTGAGTTGATCCCATCGTATTTTCTGCTTGTCCAATCTACTTCAGCTTTTGTCTTAAAGTATGGACTTCTTTCCTCAAATCATTGATTTCTTGTAGCAAAGTAACGTTTTCCTTCATAATTCTTGAATTCTCTTGCTTATGAACATCTTAATCCTTTTGGAGCATTTGTCTAAGGTAGTTAACGTTATTTTCAAGGTATCTTCTTTTATTTGCATATTCTCTATGAAGATCTGTATCTCCCTGTTCGTTTTTAACTTCTTCCTTGACATATTTCTTGTGGAGTCTAATAACACCTTTCTTGAGCTTCTTGAAATCAGCAATATGATGAAGACACTCAAAAACATCATCCTTAAATTTCTTCTTATAGCTCTCCTGTTCTTCAAGTTATTATCTTAGATTCTAGACTTCGTTGGTAAGACCCTCTTGTCTCATTCTAAGATCGTCAACGATAAGTGCCAAGTTTTAGTTAACTCTATTGAAGTGCTTTAGCTCCTATCTCATCTTATTAGTTTGTTCATTCAGCTTCTAAATCTCAAGTTCTCTTGGCCCGATATCTCTTTTAAGTTCCTTGATTTTGTAATCAAGCACGAATTTGAATTTTTCTAATTCTTGAGTTTTCTTCTTTAAGTCATAGATACGTTTGTCTTTATCCTTAATTGTAGTCTCTCTTTCTTTCAACTCGCCTTTCTAGGATTAGATCTGCTGTCTTAAGCTGTTTGTTTGCTGAATTAAGTCATTTAACTTGGTTTATTTTTCATGAATATCTCTCTGTAATTATTCCTTTTTAGATTTCGCTTCCTTATAATCGTTTGTAATCAGAGTTAAGTTTGCCTTTGATTGCATTCCAGCGTCAATAATCTTAGCAAGCTCTTCCTTGTTTCTTTCTTTTATCTAGTCGATTCTGTCCCAAGCATCATTCTCAATCTTATCTCTTTGATCTTTGTGCTCTTTCATCATTTTTTCAATTTCTTCCTTAAGTCTGTTTGTCTCTTTGATTTACTGTTCTAGTTCAATCTTCTATTCTGACTGCAATTCTTTGATAATCTTTTTGTGATGCATAAAAAGTTCACTTAGTCTCTGCTCAAATTTTTCTGCTTCTTCTTATTTCTAGTTGAGAAGCTCCTAATATCTGAGAGCATCAGCTTCCATTTTATCATTGTAATCCTACTTTCTTCTCTCAAGTTCAAGAACCTAAGTCTAGGTCATCTGTGAGATTTTCTCTTCGTTCATTCTCTCCATTTCTTTCTTTGAGTCTAGGAGAGCCTCATACCTATTTCTGTTTTCAATTTCCTTATTTTCAATCTCCATCTAAAGACTAGATATTCTTTGATTTTTCTTGCTAAGCTCGTGCTCAATCTTGATCTCATTATTAATTCTGAGCTATTCAATACTCTGCTTTAAGTGTTCAATGTCAGCTTAGAACTTATCTCTTTCAGCCTTTTGAATTAGAATCTCCTCAGAGTAGTTGATTTAGATGTTATCCTTTTCTTTTTTACCCTTTGGATCTTTATCTTTGATATCGAAGATGCAGAAAAGACCATCTTAGCCTGCTGAGAATAGAACTTAATTATCAAAACTGATTCTTAGTCTCTCAACTGGTAAACTGTGAGCTTGAACTTCAAATGACTTATTAGGCTCGAATGGATATTTAAGAACTTGAATTGATCCAGGTTTATCATCTTCTGCTATGCCTGCAAAGAACGCTCTGGCACCATGCATCAAAACAATCTAAGAGATGTTTGAGTTAGCATCATATCTTGGGAATACCTCTTTATTGCCATTAATTTCTTTGATAGTCTTGTCAGTGCCAACAGCAAAAACAACAGTCTTAGAGTCTGGTTTATTGGCAACGCAGGAGAAGTTCACATTCTTTAGCTTAAACTCGAATACTGGGTTTCCATCTTTAACGTTTCCGTCTCTTCCAGAGCTTTAATCAGCATATAGTTTCCACATGAAGACACTACCATCCCAACCACCTGAGATAAATCCAGAGTCATCATCAAGCCATTAGATGCATCTTACTTTACCAATATGACCTTTATATTGGAATTCAGGAGGATTTTCAGCAGTATAAAACTTGTAAACATTAATACTGTGCTAATTTGTACAAGCAAATAAATGGCCTCCATTTGAAAACTTGATCTCTCTACATCCTTTGATTGGGATTTCTTTGAATGTCTTTAAGCTTTTCTGGAAGACATTCATCATTCTAACTTTATCTGTGAATCCGACAATAATATGGAAACCTGAAGGATGGAATGCTAAACTAAAAGCTTCATCCTAGAATGTCTCACAGATCTCAAGAGTCTTTTGCTGATAGTTCCAAATTCTTACAGTTTTATCAATACTGCAAGTACCAACCAAATGCTTTTTGATACAGACATCCATGCCATGAATAGCTCTTGAATGGAATGGGAATATCAGGTATTCGTATTTAGCATCATCTGATGGTCTTTCAATGTTAATTGTGACCTTGAGTAATTGATTGTTTTCAGTTGTGAAAATTAAATTATCCTCTGAGCTAGAAAGTCCAAGAGATCTCACTCTTGATGACATAATACCTGCTTAAAGTTAGGGATAGTCCTTCTCTTATTTGCTGTCAGTACTTGAGGGCTATAATGTATAATTATTAAGATAAAATTATTACAAGCGTGGCTATTCTGTGATATGGGTTTTTAGGTTCCTCAGATTTCTCATAAATCATGATTTGACCATTGTCGCCAGCGATAATGAAACCTTTAGAATAAGTGATGATGCATTCGATGAAGAATCCTTCTCCTGGACTTTCAGCAAGAAGCATCTTATAATCTCCGCTACTTTCCAAAAGCATAATCTCACCTTGATCTGTACAGACAATCAATCTACCATCTGGTAGCCAAGTGTGGCAAGTGAAATTATTTGAGATATGAGCCTCTTTCTTGACTATTTAGGTATGAGTAGCTTTAAGTGAATTGTTCTCTTATACTCTGTAGAATTTATAGGTGTTATTGCCTGTAACCAGAACAATGTTGTGATCTTGGTTGCTGAAAGAACACTGATTGACCAGCATATTACCAGTGACTCCAACTTACTGATAAGTAAAGCATTTCTACTTATCCCACATCCAGAGAATGATTTTCCAATCAGGTTCCCCAGTCTGAAAAATTCGTTAGTTTGTTGTTCGTTATTTGAAATGAGTTATGAAATTAAGATTAATTTGAATTTATTAAACCGCTCAATGTTTTCATTTAACTGATATTGTAACTTACCAAAGTAGCTAACAAAGACTTCTCGTTTGATGGAGCAAAAGCTACTGAAATGAATTCCTTGGCTAGATAATCGGTTGAGGTAAGCACCTTCTTTCTCTTTGGAGCTACAATAGGGTTTGCAGCAACACCTGAGATATCCCAGATTAGGCAGATAGCTCTCTCTGATTTCTCACAGATGGCCACGAATTTCTTTGATGGACTGACAGTTGTAGCTGTAATTCCTTCTGATCCCTCGACACCTATTGTAAGATAAGGTAAATGCTGACTGTTTGTTTACCTGGAATGTAGACTTGTGTCTTCTCATCCGTGTTGTAGATAATAACGTTGTGACCTGCGGGGTAAAGCACTCTCTGATCATCTAAGTAGAATAGGTTGTTCTTCACATCACCTTTTACTCCAAAAATGAATCTGATAGTCATAATTAGACATTATAGATTCTTACCTGGGGAATAACTGCACTCCTGATTGAGCCCCTTAATTCTGCTAGTTCTGACTTTGCCCTAGCTGTTACAGGACTCCTCCTTGTGAGCCCCCTTGAACTGCAACTATTTGATTAGATTGCATTTATTATTTAAATTATAATTTCATGCACACAAAGATTTAAATTGCTCAATGACTAGCGGGGTTTTGGGGTTTTGGGGTTTTGGGG